CTAGAAATCGGCATGACCAACGTGTGTCGCTTAAACGTTGCAGCTCTCTGGTTCTGCCATACATTTCTCTTTGGAGAGACAGCCATTTTGGGTGCACATATGAGGAAGAAGTAAACATATAAAGACTCTGTAACAAAGAAAAAAACTCCTCCGTTTCTGGGACACTTTTGACTACATCAACTAACACTAAATTCAGACAATGAGCACTACAATGGACGTAGAAGGCACATTTAGCCTGTTCTTTGATCCTTGCCTGAACCCCTGAATGCTTACCGCTCATAACGGCAGCGCCATCGTACGCTTGGCCTACGAGGTTATTTTTGTAGTCCAGGCCATAACGTTCCAGTAAGTGTACTATTTTTCCAGTAAGCCCTGCTGCATCTAACCTCTCTGCAGATTCAAAATGGAGAAAACTCTCCTTAATGGCCCCATTGTAATAGTACCTGAGTGTGAAGGACATCTGTTCTTTTTTTGAAATATCCTTTGTTTCATCTGCCATGACGCTAAAAACCTCACTTTTCTTCACTTCTTCTATGATTTCAGACCGAACCATTTCTGCCAAACAACCCAAAACCTCATTCTGGATGATCTTGCTTGTGTACTTTGCATTGTGAATGGAAGTTAATCTTCTCTTAACAAGTTGGTCGTGGTTAGCAACTGTGTTAAGAATTTCCCTAAAGTTTCCTTTGTTAGTGGACCCTTCAGATTCATCATGTCCTCTTTGTGCTATGTTTTGTGTAGCTGTAAGCAACAGCACTTCCCCAACTGTTTTAATGTATGCCTGATTTTCTTGTACTTGTTTAGTGTGTTCTTTGTCAAGGAGATCTGTTAGTGTTGCGTCAGTTCTAACAGCTCTTTGATAATCCCTCCATGCGATCATTGCACACTTGTGTCGTTCAGACTTTGCATGTAGTGAAAACCCTGCATTTCTCATAGTTGCCTTTTTCCAGTTTGTAAAACCAGGTGTTGAAACAAAAACGGTGTCTGGGGCATTTGGTGTGCTAAAATGTCTACATGCATAGCAACATGTAGAGTCCGTCATTACAGAATACTCAAGCCATGGATGAGTAGTGTACCAGTTTGGTCTGAAGCTTCGTCTTCTGTCCCCCATCAGTGTGGTTGGGAATATCTTCAAGTTCGGCTGTACTGGTACGTCATACTTAGACTTGCTGATATCTGAAGAAGATGGACAGTAAACATAGGGCACAACTACAACATTTATTTACTGTATATCTGCATGTATTTCAAAATGTAGGCAAAGTATTTACTTTAAAAAAAAAACAGAGCCAAATTGTAAAGTGGTTATCCCACTGGCTATAGGGTGAACGCACCAATTTGTGAGTCGCTCTGGCTAAGAGCGTCTGCTAAATGACGTTAATGTGCCCTTGAGCAAGGCACTTAACCCTAATTGCTCCTGTAAGTCGCTCTGGATAAGAGCGTCTGCTAAATGACTAAAATGTAAATGTAAATGTAGAAAGCAGCATTTTAAGGACACCCAGCAGGCCTACCATTACATTGTAATTGCATTGCTTTGCAAATAGTAAGAACCTTCCTCATCACAAACCTGATGGTGCAGTACTTGATCCACATGGATCCACTTGCTGTCCCTCTGGCTGTTCATCTCTCTGTCCCTGTATGCTTTCTTCTTCATGCTTCTCACCCTCTTCTTCATTCTCCTCGCCCTCTTCTTCATTCTCCTCACCCTCTTCTTCATCCTCCTCACCCTCTTCTTCATCCTCCTCACCCTCTGGAATTTCCCTCTCTTTGTCAGACCCCTCACTTTCATCACATGCTGGCTCTCCCTCTTCCTCAACTTTCTCAAAACCTCGATTTGTTTCTCTCACTTTTTTGTTTGCTGGGGCAAAAAATGACTTTATGTCCCTTCCTCGTTTCATGATAACTATTAGAAGAAGAAAAAACGTAGGGGCATGCATTACATTTTGTTACCTAACCATCCCTCCCTACTTAACACTGGCAGATAACCTGTTGATTACTTTACTAAAAATGTATTTGTTATCGCGATGCAACAGCCAAGACGGATGAAGTTACGTGGTTAACATCACAACATTGTGTAGACCTAGCAAGGATAGCCTACTAACATTTGGATATTTGCTTCTGCTTCGATGAGTTTGCTTAGATATGATTACATTTCTAAACAAATCGAGACCAGACATTTAAAAACTTGATTTGATTTATGTGTGAGGAACAAAAGGAACATGTAGGCTATGTGCAAGAACAACAAGTCACTTATGATATTAAATCTTTTTCTTACCTTCGACTCCTGCAAATCGTAGCTCCTCTCGCAAATAGTAGTTGCTGAGCTCTCATTCACCGAAGCAGCACCACACGTGGCAGGCAGGCAGATGGCAGGATACAGTTTTTGGGTGCGCCACTCTAATTTACCCGTGTAGAACGTTGCCGTGTACGGCGTTGCATTAGTTCCGCTTTTGGCGCTCGCGTGTAAAATAGTTATAAATTCATAATTTTTTATTTGGTCAGCACGGGGGGGCCACAGGGGTGGCCAGGGACATTTCCAGGGAGGCACGGGCCTCCCCCGGCCTCCGTGTAAAACCGCCACTGGTTGGTGGATGGAGCGAGACATGATGTCCCAGATGTGCTCAATTGGATTCAGGTCTGGGGAACGGGCGGGCCAGTCCATAGCATCAATGCCTTCCTCTTGCAGGAACTGCTGACACACTCCAGCCACATGAGGTCTAGCATTGTCTTGCATTAGGAGGAACCCAGGGCCAACCGCACCAGCATATGGTCTCACAAGGGGTCTGAGGATCTCATCTTGGTACCTAATGGCAGTCAGGCTACCTCTGGCGAGCACATGGAGGGCTGTGCGGCCCCCCAAATAAATGCCACCCCACACCATGACTGACCCACCGCCAAACCGGTCATGCTGGAGGATGTTGCAGGCAGCAGAACGTTCTCCACGGCGTCTCCAGACTCTGTCACGTCTGTCACGTGCTCAGTGTGAACCTGCTTTCATCTGTGAAGAGCACAGGGTGCCAGTGGCGAATTTGCCAATCTTGGTGATCTCTGGCAAATGCCAAACGTCCTGCACGGTGTTGGGCTGTAAGCACAATCCCCACCTGTGGACGTCGGGCCCTCATACCACCCTCATGGAGTCTGTTTCTGACCGTTTGAGCAGACACATGCACATTTGTGGCCTGCTGGAGGTCATTTTGCAGGGCTCTGGCAGTGCTCCTCCTGCTCCTCCTTGCACAAAGGCGGAGGTAGCAGTCCTGCTGCTGGGTTGTTGCCCTCCTATGGCCTCCTCCACGTCTCCTGATGTACTGGCCTGTCTCCTGGTAGCGCCTCCATGCTCTGGACACTACGCTGACAGACACAGCAAACCTTCTTGCCACAGCTCGCATTGATGTGCCATCCTGGATGAGCTGCACTACCTGAGCCACTTTTGTGGGTTGTAGACTCCGTCTCATGCTACCACTAGAGTGAAAGCACCGCCAGCATTCAAAAGTGACCAAAACATCAGCCAGGAAGCATAGGAACTGAGAAGTGGTCTGTGGTCAACACCTGCAAAACCAGTCCTTTATTGGGGGTGTCTTGCTAATTGCCTATAATTTCCACCTGTTGTCTATTCCATTTGCACAACAGCATGTGAAATTTATTGTCAATCAGAGTTGCTTCCTATGTGGACAGTTTGATTTCACAGAAGTGTGATTGACTTGGAGTTACATTGTGTTGTTTAAGTGTTCCCTTTATTTTTTTGAGCAGTGTATATATATGGCTTGGCTACTTATTACGCCAAGCACCATGGTTGCTATGGTGAGGATAAAGACTGCTTCCAGTTGCCAGATATATTATTTATGATGACAATTGTATTAAGTTAATAAATACATTCATTTTTAAGTGTTTCAGTCTTGTATTAACTTGCTACTCAAATATGGACTTATAAATACTCAAATTAACTCATAATTCAGTCATTCTACTTTGTTTTAGACAGGCAAAGAAACGAGCAGCTACATTTACAGGGTCATGAGGGGTTGTTTTGCTGTTGGTGTTTCTCCATGAAGATAGTTAGAGGACGCAACATTGTATGTGTCCTATATGGCGTCTGTGAGAGTATGCCACTGAGTTTCTAGATACGGAGGCGCAACATCGTGAGACTTCCGTGAACGGTTGCGAAACAGACCAGGCCGGGGTTTGTGGTTTGAGAAGTAAATGAGAGAAGTGAGAAATTCTTCCTTAGTTGTTAATTTTCTCGAAATCTAAAGGCACAACCTAGATTTTAGACAATGTCTTAAGTGGATGAACATGTTATTACTCCAACCTCGTGAAAGTGACAAACTGACACATTTTCATTTATGTCAAAAACAACTTTATATCGAAAGAGTGCCTTTGATTTGACGGTCTGCACATGCGCATTTCTGCACGAGACGACCATTAGACCCGACGCTACATTGCCTACAAGTGTGAGCAGGGATTTCTATTGGAGAAGCAGTTTTAGCCTATCTTCATACTGTACTGTCTTTGGCAGCGCCATTGAGGCCATCTCCATTTTGAAGTAGTCAATTTTCTTCTTCTACTACTTATATGAGTTGGCAAACAAACTGAAAGGGTGCATACTGCCACCTGGAGTGTGTTTGAACAGGTATAAAAGTCAAGGTTGGTGATTTACTGCCACCTGCAGTTATGGAATGATTGCTCACAAGTATAATTCATTGGCTGATCCCTCCTGATGACCTGGATGGAAGTATGTGATCCTTCCTTAACCCAGATGAAGTCCCACCCAGTTGACTACTTAAAAATGGTGAAAGTCCTCAATGGCGCTGCCCATGATAAAACGGGTTCTTGGGCACTAGAGTCCAAGATGGTGGATAAATTAAGACAGTTCTGTTTACCATTGAAAAAAGATATCAGTTCCTGTCTACTTAAGGAGGGGGTGGCTCTCCCATAGACACCAATGCAATAGCAGCTGGGTCTGGTCCCTGGTCTACTTAGTTGATTGACTTACATTGAAACAGATAATTTGAGGGAGTGGAATGTCTCGCTTCATCTTCCGTCTCTACTAGAGACCTCTATCTATCTCTATGTGTTTCTCCTTCATCGCCCTCCAGCTGGACACGACTGTATCGCGACGCGGTGTCAGAAACAGCCTGAAAACAAGTCAAACCAACTGAGGTGAAGTTATAATATTCCTGCAAAATTTAGCTACCGTAGCTAAGTAACGTTAGGCCTAAATGTCAAACCTTTTTTTGCTAGCTAACGTTAGGTGTCTTTGAGTGCTAACGTTAGCGAGCTAGCCATTATAGCTAAAGTCAAGACGGGGACATGGCCAGCAAGGATCCAGCGAAGAGAAATGTGTAGCCAGCTAGCTAACGTTTGGTCCTTTGTCAATAAAGTCAGACAAGTCATGGTCGTTGACATAATTGTAAATGTAAAAATTAAAAAAAAGATTAAATTTGTATTCAAAATTGTGACATTAGCTAGCTAACCATGCTTTGCTTCAAGTTCAAAGAACCGATTGCTGTGAGCAAATCCCTGTCTGTGATGTGATAGCTAGCTATTTGCTAACCCTACTAGTTAGTTAGCTAGCTAGCTTGACTTTCATTGAACAAGCCGCCACTGTCAGTCATTGAAACGATCTAGGCAAACAACTTGAGACATGGCAGAGGCTTTGGAGTGCTAATATCGATGTCAAGATGGATGCTGATTGCAGATAACCATGTTCTTCAAATATTCACCCGTGTAGATGTGGTTGTAGGCCTGGCTATATCCCTTCAAATGTTTGCACAGTCCTATGCGGAGATGATCCATAAATTCCCTATTATCTGATCAGTTACTGGGTGGTGGATTATACTGCCACTAGTCAATCAGTGATGAACAAGCAAACATTATGCATGTTAGGATTATCCCTTTGTGGTAATACCATCGTTGTCATACACTCGCTGTAATAGAGCTCGCCAGGTTGTAGTCCTAAAACTCGTAAATGAGTTACCTCTGGTTGCTTCAGCAATGCCTATGGGGAAAGAATAGGGTTTTGGGATAAACGCTGAAAATAAGGCTTGCTGTTGCTTGGAAACTCGATGTTGAATTACATTGAATTCTATGTTGGGCAGAAATGAGTGTTTTGAATCAGTTAAGTTTCCTCTCACAACCTCTACAAGCCAGAATGTTGAATAAAATGATATTTTAAGGTACATTACCGGTTGTCAGTGCATTTTGATGGTAGGAATGTGAGACAATATATCCACAAGAAAGCAAGATTACGTCAACTTTTCAAAGCGCAGGTAGTGTGTTCACATTTCTATCACCTGAAGCATGCACACAAGATACAAATACATACACAGACTCATGCATACCTGCCCAGCTCTTGCACGTGTTTACATGGTTCTGCTCATGGTTCAGGTGATAGAAATTATAAAGCACTACCAGCACTTTGAAAAGTTGATGTAATTATACTTTCCTGTGGATATATTGTCCCACATTACTACCCCCCAAAAGGACCAACTGCATGGACAACCGGTAAAGTACTTTAAAATATACTTTTATTCAACATTCTAGCTTGTAGAGGTCGTGCGAGGAAACTTTCCAGACTCAAACGCTAATTTCTGCCAGACATAGAATTCAATACAATTCAAAGTTCAAATCAAATTTTATTTGCCACATGCGCCGAATACAACAGGTGCAGACATTACTGTGAAATGCTTACTTACAGCCCTTAACCAACAATGCATTTATTTTTTAATAAAAAAGTAAAATAAAACAACAACAAAAAAGTATTGAGAAGAAAAGAGCAGAGGTAAAATATAATAACAGTAGGGAGGCTATATACAGGGGGGTACCAGTGCCGAGTCAATGTGCGGGGGCACCGGTTAGTCGAGGTAGTTGAGGTAATATGTACATGTGGGTAGAGTTAAAGTGACTATGCATAAATAATTAAGAGTAGCAGCAGCGTAAAAAGAGGGGGTGGGGGGGCAGTGCAAATAGTCTGGGTAGCCATGATTAGCTGTTTAGGAGTCTTATGGCTTGGGGGTAGAAGCTGTTGAGAAGCCTTTTGGACCTAGACTTGGTGCTCCGGTACCGCTGAGGTTTATAGGCAAGGTCTGCGCTTAACACAGGCTGGAGATCTTATATATTTTGTTCTAGTAGATAGGCTAGTATCATTCAGTTAACATGACCTTTATGAATTACATAAATGCTTAAGAATTCACAAAGTGATGTTAGCTGATGAAGATTCTCATAGAACAAAACATATAAGATCTCCTAAGCCTGTGTTTACCACATACCTTATTTTCTGAGTTTTTCAAAAAAAAACTACATAAATGGCGTTCATTTTCCCATAGGCTTTGTCCAAAGAACCGTGGCGGAGTTGGTGCCTACAAAAATACACCATTATTATTTCTCTATAGGCTACATGCTGAACTCAGTCAGTAGTACTACGATAGCTAGATTTCTCATCTTCCATTTTTCTTGTCACAGGTATAATGGCTGTACCTCCATCATATGGTGACCTTGGCAAATCTGCAAAGGACATCTTCAACAAAGGATATGGTAAATGTCTTAACTGGTTGGTTTACCCCTGTAGAAATGACGAGAGTGACAAACATTTACATTTATGTAACAGGGGTACTTGTGACAGCTTGGACATGAACCATCACTTTGCTTTGGCCTCTCTTACGCCCTAATAGGCTAGTGGCCATTCCTCAAAAAGGGCTTTTGTTTTTGAGGTACCTACCCGAGGTATAACAAAGCACAACCATGTTTTCCATATCTCTAAGGTCTCCCATATATGAAATGGATGGTTGAGTAAAAGTATTTTACTGCAAAAGTGGTTAAATGTATAGATATTGTGACACCCCCATAACTCTCACAGTGCTGAAAATGCCTGGCTGGAGAGAGGGAGGGGGGGGGGGGTACAAATAGTCAATTATCTGCCCTTTATACTGTACACATACAAACAGCATTAGGATATTTTAAAGCATTTTGGAAATATAAACACGCAGATGCAATAAGCGGAAAATATCAACTATGAATATTTATGATTAATGTAAACTTCGCTTTTTGGTAACGTTAGCTGTTCAATAGAGAACTTTCCAAAGTTGTTCTCATTCACTGCTGTATGGTACTGCCTGACAAAAATGCATACAGTTACACATGTTTAAAAAAAAATGTAGTTATTGTAATCGGCTCTAAGGCAAGTGGGCTCAGACACATAAAACTGTCATAAAAATAAATAAAAAATAATTTTATATGTTCAGCCCTTACTCTTGCAATTACGTTAGATTTGACTCAAACTCCAATATGACTGCCACAATACCACTAAATGATGCTTTAATCACCCAAATACATTATGTACACGTTTTTAAATGATACATTTTTCAGATTTGTGTACTGCACTTATGACCTGTACTGAAGACTATTTTTGTGTACTTCAACTATGTTAGGAATCCAATCCAATTCAAACACCTTTGTCTGGATATAGAAAAAAGCAACAGACTGTTTGGCATGGCAACCCCAAGCATTCCAAGTCATGAGCAACCGTAAGGAAAGAGAATCCAACCCTGCACTCTGACACCCTCTCCCTAGCTCTGCAATTGGCCCCCACTGTGGTAGAACTTGCGCCTCCAGGATTGGGCTCTTAAGTTACCTCCTTATTATTTAAAGTAAGCTTTGATTCATTGCTAGTCCAATATGCCTGCCTGAATCCAACATGACCTTCCGCTGGCTCACTGCATTTGTGATGAACACTGTCATCCTGTTCGGGTTGAGCTGGCACATTGGTTCTTCCAGACAAACATGTCGACAATCCTGGCTGTCTGCCCTGGAGTTGCATTACAGTGCCTTCTGAAAGTATTCATAACCCTTTCTCATCCATCTACACACAGTAGATGGATGAGAATATGTGGGAACTCCTTCAAGACTGTTGGAAAAGCATTCCAGGTGACAACCAACTTTATGAGGTAAAGAGAATACCAAGTGTGTGCAAAGCTGTCATCAAGGCAAATGGTGGCTATTTGAAGAATCTAAAATATATTTTAATTTGTTTAACACTGTTTTTGGTTACTACGTGATTCCATATGTTATTTCAGAGTTTTGATGTCTTCACTATTATTCTACAATGTAGAAAATAGTAAAAATTAAGAAAAACCCTTGAAAGAGTAGGTGTTCTAAAACTTTTGACTGGTTGTGTGTGTATAGATGTATTGGTATCTGTGACCAACATATGCATATCTGTGTTCCCAGTCATGTGAAATCCATAGATTAGGGCCTAATTTATTTAAATTGACTGATTTCCTCATGAACTGTAACTCAGTAAAACATTTTAAATTGTTGTGTTTTTTATATTTTGATCAGTATATTAATTAGTACAAATTAAAAAAACATAATTCCACTTTGACATTCTGGGGTACTGTGTGTAAGCCAGTGACAATACATCTCAATTTAATCCATTTTGAATTCAGGCTGTAACACAACAACATGTGGAAAAAGTCAAGTGGTGTGAATACTTTTTGAAGCTACTGTATATGTTGACTTGGTGACCTTATAGAGAATGCAACCAGGGTGGGAAAATAATACCCGCCAATGCCAAACTCTACCAGCATTTGGCGGGTGTTATTTGTATTTTTCACCAGCCACATTGGCAGTTTATTTTATTTAAAATATATATATATATATATATTTCTCATGGAATGTAGGCCTACTTTGAACACCACACATTGGCTGCTACAGGAGGCTGAATGACAGCTATTTCCATGTTATGGGATGCATTTTCTCCATTGTTTTTGATGGTAGGCCACTCTGGTAGGCCTACATTATGATCAAATAGCCACAGTAGCCTACTTGACCACTGACTGAAACTGTAACTTAAAGCGGGTACAGCCTCAGTGTTCACAGTAAACACGCGCTGGAAGTTGCACAGAATTTTCACAACGTTCAAGTTTGCCCTCAGCAGGCCTGAAATTTGCTCAATGCCCAAAAAATGTTGAGGGTACATTGGCCAGCATCCCTGTGGAATGCTTTCGACACCTTGTAGAGTCCCCAATGAATTAAGGCTGTTCTGATGGCAAAAGGGGGTGCAACTCAATATTAGGAAGGTGTTCCTAATGTTTTGCACACTCAGTTAAAAGACTCAGGTCACAAACAAAATTGAATTGAGCAATATACCACATTACTTCTTACTAGTAATACATTTCTTGTTTTAGAAACATTACAAAGCATGCTCATCTGTTATTTGTTATTTTGGCTGTTAACATTTGAATGGCTGGTAGATTTGTTTTGTTCATCTACATGCCACAGTAACTGGTGGACAAAGTTAATTTCCCACCCTCGATGCAACCAGACATGACAAGCTACGACTGTGTATACAGGTCTGAGATTCAAAGGTTTGTCAAGTGGTGTGATGAACACCACCTCATCCTCAATGTAAAGAAAACTGAGGAGATGGTGTTTGACCCCAACTCTGTCTGCGACCACGTGCCTGTGGTTGTCCACAATGCCGACATAGCACACGCCTCTATTTCCTACGTAGACTCAGGGTTTTTGGAGTTGACCAGAAAATAATGCTCCTGTACTTCCATGTGGTAATAGAGCATCCTGAGATATGGCATCACAGTCTGGTTTGGCAATTTATCAGTCCAACTGAAGACCTGCCTGATACAAACTGCCATGAATGTAACGGGTGTGAGGCAACATCCTTCTCTGCAGACTATTTCTGAACTGACCGTTACCACACCAGCACAGAAAAAAAATTCTGGTCCCTCCCATGTACTTCACTCTGAGTATCAGGCAGACACTAAAGGGTCCCTAAATGTAAGCTGAAAAGGTATAAGCACTCCCTGATTCCCATGTCCATCAAAGACCTAAACAGCAATAGGTAAAGCTGAGTTTCGTTAGTACACCACTGACAGAATAAGGGAATGTGCAAAGTATTATGTATGTGGCTATATTTGTACGTGTATTTATTATGGCAGCAGCTTCTCTTCCTGGGCTCCAGCAAAATTAAGGTAGTTGTACATTTAAAAAAACAATACATTCACAACAGATTTCACAACATATTAAGTGTGTGCCCTCAGGCCCCTACTTTACTACCACATATCTACAACACAAAATCTGTGTGTACGTATGTTATCGTGTGTTTGTATGCATGTGTCTGTGCCTATGTTTGTGTTGCTTCACAGTCCCCGCTGTTACATAAGGTGTATTTTTATCTGTTTTTAAAAATCTAATTTTACTGCTTGCATGAGTTATTTGATGTGGAATAGAGTTCCATGTAGTCATAGCTCTATGTAGTACTGTGCGCCTCCCAAAGTCTGTTCTGGACTTGGGAACTGTGAAGAGACCTCTGGTGGCATGTCTTGTGGGGTATGCATGGGTGTCCAAGCTGTGTGCCAGTAGTTCAAACAGACAGCTCGGTGCATTCAACATGTCAATACCTCTCACAAATACAAGTAGTTCTACAGCTGCACCATTGAGAGCATCCTGACTGGTTGCATCACTGCCTGGTATGGCAACTGCTCGGCCTTTGACCGCATGGCACTACAGAGGGTATTGCGTACAGCCCAGTACATCACTGGGGCCAAGCTTCCTGCCATCCAGGACCTCTATACCAGGTGGTGTCAGAGGAAGGCCCTAAAAATTGTCAAAGACTCCAGCCACCCTAGTCATAGACAGTTCTCTCTGCTACCGCAAGGCAAGCGGTACCGGAGCGCCATGTCTAGGTCCAAAAGGCTTCTTAACAGCTTCTATCCCCAAGCCATAAGACTCCTGAACAGCTAATCAAATGGCTACCCAGACTATTTGCACCTATCCTATCAATAGATCTCTAGAAGGTGCATATAATTCATTCTAGTGGGAGAGGGCTCGACGGACTAGCGAATTGAAAATATTTAAATGAAAAGTAGCCTAGTTAATATGAAGTGGAAAAAGTAGCCGGCTGAAAATGAGTCTGTAACCGGCTTATTAGCAAACAGCCGGCGCTAATGGAAAACACTGCATTATTCTGCACTTTTTGAGTTTAGGGTGTTTTCCTTAGAGCTGATTACAATAGCCACATCATCAAGAAACATTTTACTGTGTGTATTTATTTTTTTGGTCAGGCAGGACCATACAGCACTGAATGAGAGCAAGTATGCCTTGGAAAGTTCTCTATTGAACAGCTACCAAAGAGTGAAGTTAACATTCATCATAAATATTCACAGTTGATATTTCCGCCTGTTGTATCTGTGTTTACAGGTATTTATTTCCGAAATGCTTTAATATATCCTAACGCGGTTTGTTTGTGTATAAAGGGCAGACACTTGACCACTCGTATTCCACATTTTCGCAATATTGGGTTACATGAGCTTATGTACCCCCCATCCCTTCCCCCTCCACAATATCTATCAATTTAACCACTTTTGCAGTAAAATATCTTTACACAACCATCCATTTCATATATGGGAGTCCTTTAGAGATATGTAAAAACATGGTTGTCTTTTGGTACCCCTACACAAGGTATATCAAAAATATTTTGAAGGACTTGCAACTTGCCTTTTTAAGGGAATGTTTACATCCATCCACAGAACATATTTCACACTGACAGGACATATTACAGGAAGGAAACACGATGATGACAACCAGACATTCAATTTGTTTAAGCCATGTCACAATTGGGCCATATGGATCAAATCAAATCACATTTTATTTGCCACATGGGCCGAGTACAACAGGTGTAGTAGACCTTACAGTGAAATGCTTACTTACAAGCCCTTAACCAACAATGCAGTTTTAAGAAAAATAAGTGTTAAGTAAAGAAATAGATAAGTAAAAAATAACAAATAATTAAAGGGCAGCAGTAAAATAAATAACAGTAGGGAGGCTATATACAGGGGGTACCGGTACAGAGTCAATGTGCAGGGGCACAGGTTAGTCGAGGTCGGTTAGGGGGCCGTAAAACGGCAGCCATCTCCTCCGGCGCCATTATTATCAGTATTGTAGTGGTCCATTTGTCAAATACTGAAATGCAAAGGAACCTTACCATACAAAGGAACATGTGGTGGTCTGAATGCTATGATTTGTTCTTCATTAGGTTTTGGATTGGTGAAACTTGATGTCAAGACCAAGTCTTCAAGTGGAGTGGTGAGTTTGGCTATTCAAGCCTGCCAGGGAATTACTGTGCATTATTATCTTGCATAACAAAGGATAGGCTAGCCTACAACTCCTAACTAATCCTGTCGTAATTGTTCTTTAGGAATTCAAAACCTCGGGCTCCTCCAACACTGACACCAGCAAAGTCAACGGGAACTTGGAGACTAAGTACAAATGGGGTGAATACGGCCTGACGTTTACAGAGAAGTGGACAACAGACAACACTCTGGGGACTGAGATCACCGTTGAAGACCAGGTAGAGGGGAGAAACCAGTCTAACTGAAGTGTCCAAGTGATTTGTGAGCTTTCTATTTGGTTGTATTTAGTATTTTTTTCTTCCATAGATCACCAAAGGACTGAAACTTACGTTCGACACCCAATTCTCACCAAATTCTGGGTAATGTTTGTGGCTTTTTTTTAGTTTTCAAGCATAACTGAATGTTTCTCACCAGTCTTTTGAAGTCTAAAACATTTATTGTACATGTTCGGCACTGCAGAATCCACCAGCCCTATGTAGCTCAGTTGGTAGAGCATGGCGCTTGCAATGCCAGGGTTGTGGGTTCGTTTCCCACGAGGGGCCAGTATGAAAAATGTATGCACTCACTAACTGTAAGTCGCTCTGGATAAGAGCGTCTGCTAAATGACTAAAATGTAACAACGGAGATATTTATTTTTATAGATGTTTATTCATCCTCTTTTTCTCCCTCTCTATACTTATTTTTCTCTCTAACAGCAAGAAGAGTGGGAAGGTGAAGACTGCCTATAAGCGTGAATACGTCAACCTGGGTGTGGATGTAGACTTTGACTTTGCCGGCCCGGCCATCCACGGGGCAGCGGTGGCCGGATACGAGGGATGGCTGGCTGGCTATCAGATGGCCTTCGACACGGCCAAGTCCAAAATGACCCAGAGCAACTTCGCTGTTGGCTATAAGACAGGAGATTTCCAGCTGCACACCAATGTGTAAGCTTCATATCGATTGTATTTTGGAGGACTTACTATATGTCTCGGCACTAAAGTGATAAGTGTGAATGTTTCTACCATGGTTAGAAAGTGGAGTCTTATTTGTAATTAAAGATTAACTGAAAGTTGATTTTGATAAGTTGTAGGTTGATTTGAGCGTTTCAGTTCATCTTTAATTGAGTTATCAAACAAAAAGAGCTGTTCATCAGACAAGGATAACATAATGTACGTCTGCTTATTTCCTATATCCCAGTAATGATGGCACAGAGTTTGGAGGGTCCATCTACCAGAAGGTAAATGACCAGCTGGAGACTGCTGTGAACCTGGCCTGGACAGCAGGCAGCAACAGCACCCGCTTTGGCATCGCTGCCAAGTACCAGCTGGACTCCAGTACCTCAATATCTGTGAGTGCTGCTCTTTTGCTTCTCTTGTTGTTTGTACGTTTTTTATGCCAGACTTTAAGGCTGTATTTAGTATTCAATATTCAGATACTCTGGTTCTGTGAGATTAGTCGTTTATTAGATGGGAATAGGTATTTTAGGAAGTAACTGTAGTTTTTGATGTTTTTTTTGTTGATGTTTCTGTTATTCAGTGCCAATAATGATCTTATAACCCTTTGTACTCCGTTGTTAAAGGGATTATCCTGTACTTCTTTATACTTTTTAGCCAGTAGTTCTGAAAGTAACACTCACAAGCCAAAAGTGGTCCCTGAAAACTACGTACTACGTCACATACAGTGGGGAAAAAAAGTATTTAGTCAGCCACCAATTGTGCAAGTTCTCCCACTTAAAAAGATGAGAGAGGCCTGTAATTTTCATCATAGGTACACGTCAACTATGACAGACAAAATGAGGAAAAAAAATCCTGAAAATCACATTGTAGGATTTTTAATGAATTTATTAGCAAATTATGGTGGAAAATAAGTATTTGGTCAATAACAAAAGTTTCTTAATACTTTGTTATATACCCTTTGTTGGCAATGACACAGGTCAAACGTTTTCAGTAAGTCTTCACAAGGTTTTCACACACTGTTGCTGGTATTTTGGCCCATTCCTCCATGCAGATCTCCTCTAGAGCAGTGATGTTTTGGGGCTGTCGCTGGGCAACACGGACTTTCAACTCCCTCCAAAGATTTTCTATGGGGTTGAGATCTGGAGACTGGCTAGGCCACTCCAGGACCTTGAAATGCTTCTTACGAAGCCACTCCTTCATTGCCCGGGCGGTGTGTTTGGGATCATTGTCATGCTGAAAGATCCAGCCACGTTTCATCTTCAATGCCCTTGCTGATGGAAGGAGGTTTTCACTCAAAATCTCACGATACATGGCCCCATTCATTCTTTCCTTTACACGGATCAGTCGTCCTGGTCCCTTTGCAGAAAAACAGCCCCAAAGCATGATGTTTCCACCCCCATGCTTCACAGTAGGTATGGTGTTCTTTGGATGCAACTCAGCATTCTTTGTCCTCCAAACACGACGAGTTGAGTTTTTACCAAAAAGTTATATTTTGGTTTCATCTGACCATATGACATTCTCCCAATCCTCTTCTGGATCATCCAAATGCACTCTAGCAAACTTCAGACGGGCCTGGACATGTACTGGCTTAAGCAGGGGGACACGTCTGGCACTGCAGGATTTGAGTCCCTGGCGGCGTAGTGTGTTACTGATGGTAGGCTTTGTTACTTTGGTCCCAGCTCTCTGCAGGTCATTCACTAGGTCCCCCCCGTGTGGTTCTGGGATTTTTGCTCACCGTTCTTGTGATCATTTTGACCCCACGGGGTGAGATCTTGCGTGGAGCCCCAGATCGAGGGAGATTATCAGTGGTCTTGTATGTCTTCCATTTCCTAATAATTGCTCCCACAGTTGATTTCTTCAAACCAAGCTGCTTACCTATTGCAGATTCAGTCTTCCCAGCCTGGTGCAGGTCTACAATTTTGTTTCTGGTGTCCTTTGACAGCTCTTTGGTCTTGGCCATAGTGGAGTTTGGAGTGTGACTGTTTGAGGTTGTGGACAGGTGTCTTTTATACTGATAACAAATTCAAACAGGTGCCATTAATACAGGTAACGAGTGGAGGACAGAGGAGCCTCTTAAAGAAGAAGTTACAGGTCTGTGAGAGCCAGAAATCTTGCTTGTTTGTAGGTGACCAAATACTTATTTTCCACCATAATTTGCAAATAAATTCATAAAAAATCCTACAATGTGATTTTCTGGAAAAAAAAATCTCAATTTGTCTGTCATAGTTGACGTGTACTGTGCAGATATGTGCACCACAGCATTGCTCTCTCTCTTGGTCTGCTGTGGGTGCATCATGTGCATCTTGCTAGCTGTCACTCATATGGTAAGGGGCTGAAGCTTATTGGTTGAACTAGAATTGCTAGGGGGCTGGCCCACAGAGCAAAATGTAAGGAAAATTGCATAGCATAGCTACGTGGCTAATTGAGGTAAAACAGTAATTCTGCTCATAGATTATGCATGTATGAACATTGACACATCTAGACCCCAAAAAAGAAATAGTGGTCGCCAAAGTTCTGGAGGATGTCTTTAATTGTGTGTGTTTGTTGCTATATTTTCCAGGCTAAAGTTAACAATGCCAGCTTGGTGGGAGTTGGCTATACCCAGACACTGCGGCCAGGTAAGAACTACTTTGCAAAAGCACTGCCAACCATCTCCAAAGTGGGCTGTTATAGCGAAGTTATTTATTTTTCCTGTTCTGCAGGTATGAAACTCGTCCTGTCTGCACTGGTCGACGGAAAAAGCATCAATGCCGGTGGCCACAAACTGGGACTGGGACTGGAGCTGGAGGCATAAGTATCTAGCTATCCTGTCTAGTGAAGTCGTCATATTTATTTGAATTGAGGGAATCGCAGAAGAATTTGGCCTTATGTATTTCCAGCCCAACCACCATTTTAAGGGATGTCTCAAAGGAAAGGGATGAATCTAATCTAAAGCAACAACAACATAGCCCTCAGTACCCTCAGTTAGATGGATCCCCAACCCATCAGCCACTGTTATTTCCTTTCATATGGTTTGTAGCCTAGTCCTACTAGGTCTGCTATTTATCAAGTCATGTGTTTGTTTCTATACTGTGCTGTACCACTAGTGAAATACATCCTTCTCAAAGAGAGCGTTTTGCTTTATTGATTTGGCTCATTGGATTGGACAGTCCGAGGAGGGTTATATGAAGATATATTCTTTGATTTAAATATGTATATGTTATATTATGTCATTATTGTGTCAATTCTAAACTGTTGTTGTTTTGCACACTAGCAAATTATATTATACCTTTTTACATATATTATTTATATCCCATCTTTCCCTGTTTCATTTGCACATATAGTAGCGTTCGGTTAGCAACGCTTTGCCTGTTGTCAGGACGGCTCCTACTCACAATGCTTATCATCTACTCTAGAGACCTTAAACCTCAATCTATTCTATTGGGTGATCTATTTAGCTAATATTCTTGAGGATTTGTTAACTATGCTTATTGCTTACCCACTCTGTGCGGTCATTAGCAGACCCGTACTATCTTGATGAACTAACCTGCTTCCTAGTTGAACGTGGTAATGTACATTTGCACAACAATGCCAAATGGAATTTTCTGGGTGTGATTAGGAAAGACTATCTTCCACCTCCCCTTCCCATAGCTGTGTATAAATGATATGACTGGGACATTGATCAGAAACCAAGTCCACTTGTGTGTCTACCTTTACAATAAAGTATTTTAAAAGTCAGTCCTTTCTTCCTTCATATATTATGGCACATAGCCTCTTCATACAGTTGGACAAAATGAAAATATACAAGCCAACAAGTCACTTGTTTTACAATTTGAATGTACAGCTCAACCATAATGAACATTTAAAACAAACATGTATACAGTGAAAATATGACACACCTGTGTACAAAATGTGTAGAACTGTAAACGTTCTTTTTTCATTTAAACTGTTTCAAGACAGTTATTCAAGGCAGCGTAACACCAATTGAAAAGTCAGTACTTGTACCAAAAAGATGGCAAGTACCATCTGATTATTATAATGAAAAGCTCACTAATTAGAGGCTAGATTCAACCCATAGCGCGGAAGATCTGCGTTATAGACATTGTCTTACATCAGTGCGTCGATTCCGACTGCACAAAGGGATGAGTTTCGCGGAGAAGTGAAGCCATCTGACGCAAGACAATGCGTTATAGCTCAATTTAAATGTAAAGGGAATTTCAGGTTGAGCTGTCATGCAGCGTTTACCTTGAATGCATTCTCCGCGAACGCGGGAACATTGCCTTTAAATTTAAATCGCCCAATAGCACGGGTCTTCAGCTCTACGGATTGAATCTAGGCCAAGTTACTACAGTTTATTACAGTATAGGCCAGTGTTGGCCAATCTCACTCTTCACTACAATTTAAACACCTGTCTCCTACATAGTTACAGTTTGAAGGCCAGTGTTAGCCTATCTCCCACATGGCCTGGGTGTCCACATCATCATCAGCTGCAGGGTTCACCACCTTCCCACTCCACAGAACTAAAGCACAGAGCATCGTCAGCACTCTTAAGCGTTTTGCTTAGTTGCTTAAACTTGGTTCTGAGTGCCGAAATGACTGTTGTAACATGATCATTGAATAGATATTTTGTTGAACTATGCATCATGACTGAGCTATAGTCATGCTGTACTGAAATATTCAATAATAATAACTCCTTTCCTCACTAGCTGGAGGGATTTTCTGTAGTAGTTTCCATAGTTTGCTTTGCATCCATGAAGACGAAGTCAAATGTTTAGCCAGGAGGTCATCTGAGGAAGAGGAGTGGGAAATGTGAGTGAATACATTTGTTCATTGTCTTGTCTGTATCCATGCTGATTAATGGATCTCTGTTATAACCATGTTATTACTGTACCTCGAGTTTTAAATGCCGGCTGGATGTATAGATCTATTTTATGGTCTACTCCAGCCTGTAAAAACCCCCACCAAAATGGATATGACCGTTGCTTGATCAGGGAGTTATATAATAAAGTCCATGGTTACACATTGCTTTTTCTGATACCAATTCTGTAAACAGCTGACAATGTTGACAAGAAGGGTTTTCCTTGAAGGTGTTACTTGCCATCTTCAGGCCTCCTGTAGCTCATTTGGTAGAGCATGGCGCTTGCAACGCCAGGGTTGTGGGTTCGTTTCCCACTGGGGACCAGTATGAAAAATGTATGCACTCACTAACTGTAAGTCGCTCTGGATAAGAGTGTCTGCTAAATGACTAAAATGTAAAAAAATGTGTTAAGAGTTTTGATAAGAACTTATGTTATCAGGGGAGACTGTTGGTAATAGATGCTCTGACGGGCTGTGTTCGAGAGCATCAAAACCATGATGTATCATGGGTAAATTGTGACTAACTGACTGATCTACAAGTAATATTGAGTAGTTGTTCACGATGCAAGGTGATTTGTAGATCAGTCAGTCTCGACTCACCTTTAATGTCGGCTGCAATGTGTAATGTGCCCAGGCTCTCTATGATAGATCAGATGACTTTTACATCACATCATCAATCTATCACACAACCACAGCCAGTCTCTCAAAGCTTGTATTGATTTTGAGGGACTGTGAAAAAGCAAGCAGAAGTCTGAGTTCATCACTTTTGTAAAGGGCAGTACATAGGCAGCGTCTTGTAAATCTAAACGTTCACAAAATGATAACTAGCTTCTACCCCCAAGCCATAAGACTGCTGAACAGTTCATCAACAGTTCACCCGGGCAATTTACATTGACCCCCTTTATTATATATTAATTTATCTTAATGGTTTTATACTGGCTCTATGTACACTCACTAGACTCTACCCACACACTCACACTGACAGTCCAACACACACACTACATACGCTTACACACACAAAACACACACACATGCATATTGACGCCACACACTCACTAACACTCACACATAGACACACTTCACATACGCTGCTGCTACTCTGTTTATTATATATCCTGATTGCCTAGTCACTTTTACCCCTACCCACATGTACATACTGTATTACCTCAATTACCTCATACCCCTGCACATTGACTCGGTACTGGTACTCCTTGTATATAGTTACTATTTCCTTTAGCAAATATTTGTCTTTTTACCTCTGCACTGTTAGGAATGGGCTCATAAGTAAGCATTTCACTGTGAAATGTACACCTGTTGTATTCGGTGCATGTGACATTTTTAAAAACATTTTAGTCATTTAGCAGACACTCTTATCCAGAGCGACTTACAGTTAGTGAGTGCATACATTTTTCATACTGGCCCCCCGTGGGAAACGAACCCACAACCCTGCCGTTGCAAGCACCATGCTCTACCAACTGAGTTACAGGGGATGAAATGTGATTTGAGCTATGTTTTCGTTCCACAGATGATGCTCTGTGTTTGGTATCTTTATCAACAATGCAGTACCCATGACAAGACTGCACATTGTTTCTTCCACTAATTGGTCTTTTGACCAATCACATCAGATATTTTTCAGAGCTGATCTGATTGGTCAAAAGACCAATTTGTGAAAACAAAGATCAGAATTGGTCTGCCTGTGTAAACACAGCATTAGGCATACCTAATTTCATAATAGGCCATCATCACTGTCAATTGTGAATGATAATTCTTCACATTTTACCGGTGAAATGTCTAAACTGCATCTGTATACCAATCATTTGATCTCAATCAGTTTCATGGGAATATGCATTTAAATCTTCTTGAATTATGTGGGCCAATTCATCTACTTTGTATATTGATAGTTTTGCTAATTTTCATTGATTCTGCACTACATTTATTCTGCATGTGACAAACTTTGATTTGATTTGACAGTTTTTATTTTTGCAAACCTACAGTATATGGAATAGCATTACACTATGTTATTGGTGGTGATGAAAACATCAAATAAAATGGTAGGCTTTAGCAATGAGCGAGAAGAGATTATTAAATGTGATAAAGACTATAATGTGATGAATAATGCTTACCGATTTCTATAGCTTTCTTGGCCAGGTTACCCATGAGATGTGACTGCTCAGCTGCAACCATGATGAAGTTCCAGGAATCATCCATGACCATGGTCCTCTGAAAGACAAAATGTTAATTTATTATTTTTGCCACAGAAGAGAATAATTGATATAATGACTATATTTAGGCGTAAGACTGATATGTGTTCTATGAGCATGTGTGAACTTCTATTTAATCATACTTGTGAAACATTGTAAATGGGGCCCTCTTGTGGCATAACTACTGTATTTGACAGCTAACGATTTGTAGTGCTGGCAGGCAAATCTGAGCAAATGTTTTGATAATGAAGAAGACATCTCTAAATCAGGACCTTCTTTGGGGCCAGATGCTTCCTCATTAATTGATTGAGGACATCCATCAAAGGCTTATCTTTTGCCCCAGAGTGACTCTTGAACATGTCCATACTGAAAATGTTTGATTTTCTTTTCCCTGGAGGGAACAATCATGCCAACTGATGAGTTTCTTTAATGGCAACACTGTTCAACATCATCTTGACATGTCATGATATTGAGAAGAAGCAGGCACGTTGCTTTTCTCCCCCCTTACCAATGTAATAACCAGAGACAAAGACAAGTTTAGCGGGCCTGATCAATGCTTCTCTAGATACATTGTGAAAAGACATTGTAACAATGTTTCTCCTCTCTTCCTCATTGACAGTTTGACAGATCAAGGACTGAAGAGGAAGAGAGACATCACTCTCCCTAATTTTTTCTGTTTAAATGCACAGCTCATTTTTGTGTTAAATCAACACTGACAGTGGTCCAGTGTCTATGGGTCCACACTTTTCAGTGTTAAATTAACACACTGCTTATTGTAAAGCCTTATTTGCATATTTCCCAGAGTGCCTTGCCTTTCAAGTGAATTGTAGCGTTACCACTTATGACTGTATTTATTAGTGACAGAGATATGGTTGTTGCATACATCCACTTCCAGACTGTAATTGGTTGATAGACAGGCCTATGTGATTGTATCCAAATGTAATCAAGGTTTCAAATAATTCAGTTTTTGTCAAATACTATATCTGTTTGGGATTCTTGCTGTCAATTTGCAGTGTACCAATTATTTATAGCTATGTTCCGGTCCCCCGACAATCTGCTCAAAATCGTCCCACTACTGAATGTAATTGGGGACCCCTACATTAAACCATAATAACCACAAGTGGAATGCAAATTTACTAAAATATGTATAGCACCAAAAGTCATGCACAGAATAACCTACTTACCGCATATAAGGAGATTAACTATGAATCTGCATGGGGCCAGTTCTGTTGTACCGCTATGTCTGTGGTGCACTGCATAAAATGACCTCTGAGGACAGGAGGGATGGATTCATGACTAATCAATTTAACACTTGGTTCACCAAATCTAGATGATGGTATTTCATGTCATGTCATTATCATCCATGAAAGTTTTACATGAAGACCTGCATTGCAGAGTGTGGCTTGTGCTCATTCACACCCCCAGCACAAGCCAGTTCCTACACTTGTTCACACCCCCAGCACAAGCCAGTTCCTACACTTGTTCACACCCCCAGCACAAGCCAGTTCCTACACTTGTTCACAGCCCCAGCACAAGCCAGTTCCTACACTTGTTCACAGCCCCAGCA